TTACCGATACAAACAACATAAAAGAGAAAAAATGCATTCGGTTTGCAGAAAATCATGAAAATTGTAATACAGCATGCAACTCCAGAAGATGAAACAATTTGAACGGGCTGTCATACCGGATCCACACTTGAACCCACCACGGTTCTACCTCGCCCAGTGTTACGTCACTCCGTGATCACGTGAGATTGCGCTGACCAACCCTTCATTGCGTAATCTGACTTCACAGCCTTCGGAGTACAGTCCAGTAATTCAAGCCCCATTGAAAACAGTGTAAAATCAGCACTTTTCAGGGCCCAATAACATGCACGCCAACATCCCTGAGATCTCTGAAACACAAATGAAATTCTTGTCTGGTCATTTATCTTTCAATTTCTATTCAACTTTTTGTGGGTTAACCAATTGCATTTTACATTTTTCCCACAAAACAAAATCACCCCCCGAAAAGTGATTTTTCCGAAGTCTGATTGCAGCCATTTTTCAAGTTGCAACCCTCAACTTTCTTCGGCTCCTAGGACCATTTTTCAACCGTAGTTTTTTTCTGCTCTCATATGAAAGCTCACAGACCCAGGGAGTCGATCCCGGCAACGATTTACACAATTTTGGAGGCCAAACAATCTCCTTTTTCCAAAGATACTGTGGGGGGCACTTTAATGCTAATGAGTTGGCCAGAAATTGTGGTCTGCACCCTTCGGACGTAATTTTTGGTGCGAGTCACCAATGCATATTCTCTGTATTAATCATCCTGTTGAATGACACTGTCCTATCATGGCAGACGATAATACCCGTGCCTTGTTTGATTTGGCTAAGGAGCTAGCAGGAAACCCTGAACGGTCTGATGCAGAAAAAAACTCTGCTTTCTACTGGGATCATGAAGGACAAACCCTTCAATGCAGAGCCAGTTGAAAACTTAGCTACTGCACAGGCCCTAGGCCGAAAGCAAAAACTGGCTGGTTCTTCAGAGGCAGCTGACACACAGGCTAATAAATGTGTCCAGTCTACCGCGATGGCTCCACTCGGTAAGCGCCAAAAAAGAATCCAAACTACTAAGAATCAGGCTACTTCGGGTGCAAAACCAGCTAGCGTTAAAGGAGCCACAACCAAGACTGACATTCCAGAGACATTGTTGAAAACAATGGCCTCATAATTTCAGGCGATGCAACAACAGTCTATTCACATGCTCTGCAAAGGAATGCAGGAGGGTTTCCAGCAGCTGGTAAGCGCCATGGACCCAATTATTTGCACTGTAACTTAGCCAACAGAGCCGAAACGGCAAGGTATTGAAAATCGAGCCCCTCCAACGGCTTCAGATGAGTTGCCAGATGGCAATCCAGATCAAGTTCTTAACAAACTTCTGCTGTCAAAAGACGACAATAC